AACAACTTTTTTTACGGTATATTTTTTACTAATGTTTAATAATTTATATTTAAAGTCAAAATAATGCATTGATAATTGTGTCAAATTTGACTGTGTTAATCAAGGGCAAAGCCAAGGGGTTTTGGCAGAGGCCCCGACCCTCCTGTGGCCCGATTCAATCCATTTCCAGAGCCCAATTTTTTAATATCTTGCTCTACATGCGATAAAGTAATCCGTAATAAATTTGGCCCCGGTAATTTTTTATTCCTAATTTCGCCACTGGTGTCAATTATCATGAAGCAGCAATAATAGTAGGACTGTAGCTTGTAGGAGTAATAAGATAAAATGTACTCTACCACATATGCTAGAATTTAACAACTGTGATTATACATAGTATATAAGACAGAGTGATAAAATAGACAGTTGAGCTGGAGATAAATGATCATCGATTCCTATGAACAATACTCATAACCTTAAATTTATAAGGGGACTAGTAATTTGCTTCGGGGAACGAGAATAATCTCATAATAACCCTGTTATTTAATTAATCAACTAAATAAAATAGTCGACAATAATTTACCTTGCTGGCTTCATATGATACCCAAAAGATTTACTTTAATTGTTTAGTTGTCTTAAGATTAGATCAGAGGATCCCAAATCTTAATTAAAGCCATCTTTTTTTTTATTTTTTTTCTAAAAAAAAAAATAGTGTAGTATATCTAAATGCTTAGGGAACTAGCTAGCTAGGTGAAATGACAAGCAAACCCCTTTGCTATTTGTGTGTAAAGTATGAATAACAATTACTTTCATATTTTTCTTTTTTATGTAATTTATATACTAATTTTGACCAAATTAGATTATTAATACTCACTTCATCCCTTTATTAGATGTCTATTTCTAACATTTATTACTCACATAGTATAGAGAAGTAGGCATCTAATTAAGAGGCGGAGGGAGTACAACTTTTATTTTAATTTATTTGTAACATTTACCTTAAATGAATACTATTAATTATTTGCAATAAATATTTTCTTTTCTTTTTTACTTAACACTTATTTCTATCTCGCAAACAAATTTTACCTAAATGTTAATAAATGTCACATCGATATAAATAAAATGATATAGTTAAGCTTGAATATTTCAGCAAAGTGGTTCATTGACACACAAGTACAGTCAAAATGGTGCTTCTATTCATAAACGAATGTAATAGGAATACGACCACCTTAAATTTGTTTAAGAAAATAGATAAATAAATAAATAAATAAATACAACCACCTTAAATCATTGAGGTTAGTTTTGGTAATAAAGATGCAAAAAATGACACATATAGGCTTTGTTGGAAAATGGGATGTCACATGGGAAGAAATTAACTCTCATGTGACCACATGGTTAAGGATAGTCCCATGTTAATAATCTTTGGAAGTAAGAGGGATAATGAGGAGGAGTCAAACTACCAATGCCTTATCTCTCTTTGACTAATTAGTCCTTATTATTATGTGGACATCCATTGACACCGAAGCTAACAAATACATTAAATCAAACACTTAAAAGAGGTCCCTCTTCCTTCTCTCTCTCACACCTGGTTCCCTTGTCCTTTTGTGAATCTAGCTATAAGAATAAAGTACATTTGCTGCTCATTCATTTTCTCTTCTTCCTCCCCTATTTTTTTGGACACACACTTGACTCGAGCACCAAAATATATGCATCTAATATGTATTTTGATTTCCTTAAATAATTAAAATATAGAGACACAAATGAATCTAGTCTCTCACTAGTTAAATAATTCTCTAGTTCTAAAGATTGTCTGTTTAGAATAACGAACTATACTATCTTAACTTAATTTCTACTTAATAGCTTATAGTCTTACTAAACCACACTAAACAAGCCTGATATATATATTGACACCCTATAATCGTACTAAACCACACAGAATAAACTTGGTATATGATCGAACTTAACATTTATTAATTCATTCACATGAAGTCACAGATCACAAGACAGAAATTTAACTAGCTACAGAATACATTAGTCAAACATCTCATATAACAGCTAACAACTAACCTCTCATAGTCAAACGGGATCGAAATTAAATACTGTAGTATATAACATGAGTATAATTCTTCAATTGATGTTAGTCACATCGTCGGAATCCTGTACACCAACTAAGGTCGATAAACTTGATAAGCTCTATTATGCATAAACTATAATACTATATGAATCTAATAATCATTACGCAAAAATATCCACACTAGAATAGACAAATGTCGTTCATATAGGAATAAGAAAGACACAGTGGTTAATTCCTAGCTTAGTTGTTCATTCATGCTACCAATATTAGTTATCCTTTTTTAGGGAAGAATAATAAGGGTTGCCAACCCTATATTTGGGGTTTGGGTTAGGGAGAGATTAGACGGTTCGGGTGAATAGACAGAATTGAAGCTGCCTAGTGCTGGAATCTTAGATGGGCAGACTGCTTTACATAACTTATAGTCCTGCCATGCCAATATCAAAGCAGACTCTGTACATATATAATAGTCCTGTCATACAACAAACAAATTATATAAATAAATATCATATGATAGGACAAATAACCACATTTCAAATTTTATCCATATAATATTGTCCATTTATTATATATTTATTTAATATCAATACATATTTCCTCCGTCCCATAATATGATAAAAGTGAAAAGTATAATTATAGACAAAAGTTAGAGAAGGAAAGTGGAAAATTTAAGGATAATTTAGGAAGTACAATAAATAAAGTTAAAGAAAGTGAAGGTATAATGGTCTTTATATACTATCCAAAAATGAAAACAGGAACAACATTTTGGATCTCCAAAATAAGAAAACAGAAACTATATTATGAGATAGAGGGAGTATAGGATAATAATATAGTTCCTCCGTTTTTTTAATATTGCGCCACTTGCTTTTTAAGCAAGTTTCACAAATATTGCACCATATCTATTTTAGGAAAAAAAATATTTGTTTTAACACTACAAATACCTAATAACCCTTGCTTTTCAACACTTATTTTTTATTTTGTGTATACAATCACATGGACAACTTTGTATTTCTATCTTTCTCTTTCATCTTTTTTTTTTTTACTTTCAAAAAATTTATGTCAAACTCATATGATGCAATTATAAAAGAACGGAGAAAGTAATATTGATGATAGATTGTAGTAAATATAAATTATTTTTACTGGCGTCATCAGATAGGCTGGTAATACTATTTTATCCAAGATCGAAATGAACGACAATTTACACGGTGCTGCCTTCTTTACCGTTATAAATTCATTTTGCATTTCATATTATGTACGGAGTATATGAGTATGACTAAATATGTACGGAGTAAATTAATTGTAATACTAGTATGTTGATTAAAATAATTACCCTTTTATTATATGTATGCATCAATTAGACTAATACATGGTGCATGTACAACTTGACTGTTAATATGATTAATTATATACGGTAGACTAATACATGGTGCACGTACAACTTGACTGTTAATATGATTAATTATATACGGAACATTAGTAAAATTATTAATAGTTGATATCATATAATAAAAGCATACATTCTAATTAATAAAAGTATAACACTATTTTACTTAATAACATTTGTTTTGTATACAATAGTAGAATTTAAGTCAGAATTAGCCTATGAATAAAAAAAGTCTATGTGATACATTTGTGTAGAGATGGAAGGGTTAATTTCAGCAAAAACCTCTTCTTATTTTGAATGGTTGTACATATTCACCAATCTTGTTCCGGGTGAGTTTCGGTAACTTGAGTCTTGGGATCTATAAAGGTTTATCGATCAATTAAGTACCTGCACAGTCAACGTAAATTAGCTAACTTGGGGGATTATCCGGGGATAATCGCTCCGATGCTAAAGTTAGCAAATGGTGAGAAGGGAAAGAAAGGAGATAAAAGAGTGTTTTAGAGAGAGAGAGAGAGAGAGAGAGAGAGAGAGAAAGAGAGAAATAAAGATCGTACCTTAATAATGAATTATGCTTGGGTAATTATAGGAAAATAACCAAGCTAGTGCCACCTATCGACATAGGTGGCAAGTAGACTTCGTAGGCAGCAGGTGCCTACATGGCTGAAAGCAGCTCTCCACGTGGCTGTGATGGGGGCCTTTATGGAGAGTAAGCCGACAACAGTAATAGTAGAGACATAACAGCGTAACGTAGTTTATGATCGAAATCATAACGGTGTCGGCACTATCATGTACAACTAGCCCCCAAGTGAGGACATATGTGTAACTGACGTTCTCGCTTGTCGTAGGGACACTCAGAAAGAACCCAATCATTTCAACTTTAGGAGACTGAGATGTACATCAAAATCTCCGATTTTCCCCTCAAGTGAGCATATTTAAAACTAAGATATGCTTAATTAAAAAAGTTAGGTCGAGATTAAAAAATCTCCGATTTGTCCCCCAAGTGAGCATATTGAAAACATGTGCTCAATTTAAAAAGTTAGGCCGAGATTAAGAAATCTCCGATTGGCCCCCCAAGTGAGCATATTAAAAACTGAGCTATGCTCAATTAAAAAAGTTAGGCAAAGTTTAAAAAACCCTCCGATTTACCCCCCAAGTGAGCATATTAAAAACTAAGATATGCTCAATTAAAAAAGTTAGGCCGAGATTAAAAAATTTCCGATTTACCCCCAAGAGAGCATATTAAAAACTGAGATATGCTTAATGAAAAAGGTTAGGCCGAGATTAAAAAATCTCTGATTTTACCCCAAGTGAGCAAATCCGAAATGGGATGTGCTCAATTGGATTAACCATGTTGAGAGGAAACGACAAGGGCATAGTGGGACAATGAAAAAATGGGCGGGAAAACATTTGAACTAGTGGGGCACGTGTCATGGATCTAAAGCGGGGTGTTGAAAAGACGTTTTTTCCCAGCCAAAGGATTACATGGAGCAAATGTCACATCAACCGCTACTGTTCATTGAAGTATAAATACCGAAAATGAATAATTTTCAGACATTTCAACTCTCTTGATTTTCGAAAAAAAAATTCTCAAGTTGTACCAGCGATCATCGAGCACAATTGCGCACATAAGGATCAAATTTCAAAAGAAAATCGAGCAATCCAATTGAAGTATGTTCATTTGAAGTTTGCTAGTGGCTTGATTTCGTCGTATAACAAGGAATCGGGACTTCAAGAGGTAATAGAAAAACCCTAACTTTCGTTTGTGTTTAGTCGGTTCTTGCCATTTGCGACAAATTTTTGCAATTATTCCCTTTCCTTTTTTTTATTATATTATTATGCCTGGATCTGGAAAAAATTTGAATATGGGTAAAGCTAATGAGGTTGACCCATTTACCCTTGTCCTCAGCGCAAGAGAAGTAAGCTTTCTATTGGCATAAATTTCTTGCCGACGCTAAAAAGTCTCTACATCCTGATAATCTTGATATTTTAGAAGACGTAGAGATTGTTGATGTTGAACCTCTAAACATCCGTTATCATTTACGAAGGTTTTCAGAATTCTATCTCAACCGGTACGATACAAATATTGGCAAAATAGGTGTAAAAAGTACAAGGATGCCGAGAGCAAAATGTTACTAGTTATGCGCCCGAGGAAGCCAAAAATGTTAGTCGGCGTCCTGGCAAAGAACCAATCATAGAGCCAGATCCGCCGACATCAGATTTTCGAGATGAGGACGTGGAATTTGTCGAAAGAAGTGTTGAGAACTTGGAAGAGGAAGAAGATCAGAGTGTTGGTAATGTCCGTGAAGGTGATGAGGGAGTTGAGGAAGAAGATGATGATGAAGAAGGTGATGAGGAAGAAACTGATGAGGAGATAAACAATGATGTAGCCATTGCCGAGCAGGTGTTGAAGGAAGAGAGGCTTGATGTGGGTTACAACTCTTAAGAAGATGACCCTATATATCGAGAGCCACTACGCTTATCCAGTGATCTTAAGGTGGTAGACACAGTAGTTGATCCGAATTGGCTTAAGGTTTCCACCGAGAAGGAATACTGTCGACATGCTCAGCATTTCTACAATCTAACTAAGGGTTATGAGCTAACATGCCTGAAGAGGGAAAAACCGCTCTAGATTGTCCTGACGGTCACATCGTTGTGTATGCCAAGCACTTCCAATTCGGTCTACGGTTCCCTTTACATCCTTTTATTGAAAAGATCTTTAAGGCCTGGAATGTTTGTATTGCACAGTTGATACCACCGACAATTTGGAACGTCATATCACTTGTTTGGGTTATGCTATTCATGGACTTTCCACTTTGAATTTGTTCCAAAGGTTACACTGGATCAAAAAGGACAGTCAGTCACCAAGATTGTGGTCGTTATACACGGCTACCAGTAAAGTTACAGTGTGGCCGAAATTAACAAGCTGTAAAAAATGGCAAAATCAATTTTATTTTCTAAGGGTACTAGATGATTTTAAACTACGTAGAACTTTCTACCCTCCTCATAGCAATGCAAGTTTGATACTATTAAAGCTAGAAAGTTAGGGAAACATGAAGATAAGGCTTTTCGGTTTTTTGATTAAACATATGTTAATGTTGGTAAGAAAAATAAAGCCGTTCCAAGGGTGTGGTTGCCTAATTATATTCTAAGCAAAGCCCCTCTTTCACATGTCATTCTCTACACGACTAACGAATATGGTATGACTTCACCATAAGTTACTAAAAATTTGTCAATCTTTCATAACTGGCTGTCATGTTATCGTCTAATTGAATTCTTATAATTCCACGTTACCTTCATTTATATATATATATATATATACTCTCACTTCTAAAAAATTCTATTATTATTGTGTGCAAGAATCAACAAACTAGACTTCCTCACGACTGGGGTTGCCCTGCCGGTTTACGCCACTAGAGCTTCAAAGGGAAAATAAAGGAGCAAGTGCGATATGTCCTCGGCAGGCAAAAAAGAAAAGGGCCGAAAGCTCTCCCCCTCAAAAGGGGCGGCGATGCCAGCGTTGGCTCCAAAAGGTTAGGTGACGTGACTGACCGGGATCAGTCTAAGAAGCAAAAGACTATCCCTTTAAAAGACCAACCATCCGACAAGCCTAATGATGTTCCAGTTGATACCAGGAGCATTGTGGATCTGGAGAGGGATGATGCCGACAAACTCAAGAACATAGTGAACATCATTGCTTCTAAACAGCCGGTCATCTGTGCCGACAAGGCAACTTCGCTGAACAAGGATATGCAACCCTCTGCTACAATGCGATCTGGCTCTAGCAGCCTATATGCCTTCATTCCATTGCTGACGAATGATTTTGTCGAAATTTCCCATGTCAAAATTTCTGACGAAGTGATGGAAGAATTTTTGGTTCCTACCGGCACGGCAGATGAACCATGGCATCCTCGCATTCAGGTAAATAGGGGAGAGTCTGTTATCATAGTTGCTGGGAGCATGGGGTGGAGAATGCTGAAAGATTTAGCGACGCCTGCCGACAGGCCTATTGATCGGCTTTATGCTCCCTGCAGCCAGCTAATGAATGATATGTTGAGGGTAACAAACATACAATTCGTAAATTATATGCTGATGTCGTCTTTTTTTTTTTATTACACAAGTTAATGAACTTGCTTTTATATGCAGACTGTCAACTGGGCTGTGGAGGTTGTCCATATGTACAAGTATTTCCAGAAATATGCAGACAAGGCAGCCGAGAAGGTGAAAAAGGCTGATGAAGAGCGTAAGGCCGCCGTTCTCCAAGTCGAGGATTACAAGGTCAAGATGAAGCTTCTTGAAAAGCAGGTTACCGATCAAGAAGAGTTGAAGAAAAAATTGGTGGATCAGAACAAGCTAAAAACAAAAATTGCCAATCTGGAAAAAAGCTTAAAGGTTGAGAAGGTAGATAAAGAGAAGCTGATGAAAAGCTTAGAGGAAGCTCGTCTTGAGAAGCCTGGTATAAGGCGCAAAGCTGTCAACCGCTTCATGAGGTCTGACTTATACCAGGACAAGCTCGTGGATCGTTATACCGGTGGATGGGTAGTGGCGCACCGTTGTGTGTGCAAAGTCGAGGACTGGGAGGAGAAGAGATGGCAGGCAGTTGAGGATGCTTACGACAAGGATAAGCACCATTCTCCTACCACTACGAGGAGACATACTTCGCTGACCCTCCCACCATTGAGATAATGACAAATGCTAATCCACGAGACATGCCTGACGAGGAGTTTGATGATGCCATACTTGCCAAGCCCCCTAGTAAGAAATGACCGGAGAAGGAGTCCGAGAAGAAAAAAGATTAAAGGGGCGGGCAGTCATCACCAACTTCATCATGTGGATCTTCTTTTTCTTGCAACTTCCGCTGATCTTGGCATGTGTAAAATTAGTTTTTGTTTTTGAAGGCTAAGGTTCTTGTCTGTATAAAACTTTTCACCTCTTTGGGTAGTGTATAAACAATTTTACCTCTTTGGGTAGTATCAGTCTGATCCTCGTGTTTTTTGGGTGATGATTGTCGGTGTTTTTAGGATTTCCTTTTAAAAAACTTTTAAGTAGGGGTGGCAATTCGGGTCAGATTTCGGGTCGATTTCGAGTTGTGCTTAAAAACTATCAAAAATAGTGTAAAACTGAATATTATTACGAAATATGAAATTTAGGTTAAATCGGGTTGAATTCGGGTTGTTCGGGGTCGGGTCGGGTCGGGTTCGGGTTTCTCTCATTAACTTCAGGTCGGGTCAGAGATTGCCACCCTTACTTTTAAGCTTTTACTTCTATATATGTATTAAGTTTTTAATGCTTTGACGTATTTGTCTAAATTATCTTTGCATTAGTTATGTTCACTTTGAATAAATATATGTAGCATACTTAATCTTCTTGCATCCTTTGGCTTATTGGAAAAATAGCATACACCGAAATCTACTTAGATACCTTTTGCTAGCCGATATCGGTTATGATCATATTGCCGATTTATACTTATGTAAAACTTTTCGTCAATATGTTTTTGTCAAACTTATCGACTTTGGTTTTGATAATATAGGCTTTAGAAATATTACCATTGGTTTGGATATATGTTATGATTTATGTCTGCTAATGGCTATATCCTTATGTCTTAAAGAAAGCCTACCAATAATTGTTACTAGTGACGCATTGAAATAATAATTCTATCGGTAAACTTTAGACCGAAACAACCGCAATCAAAATGTATTTACAGCAGTTATAGCCGCTAGATTGCCGGCTTGAATGTGCGCTTCAGTCCTCCGAGTAGATTTAAGTTAAACTTACTCGAATACCTTTCACAAGATGGCTATCAGCCACTATAACATGACCAGCTTATAGGCACAAGTTATAGCACGAATTCACCAGTAGAGTACTTACAACCTCATTAGACCGAGCAAAGATAGTGGATTAGACCATCATTTCAACTCATCCAGTAGGTGTTTGTTATTGTCTAACCTCCCTCCTCACTTGAATGGGTGAGACAGCTAGCTAGGTTGTTCTCACATCCATATCAAAAGTGGAGGGGTTTCCGCACATTTGATATCGGGCCGTTAATTTCATTTTATTAACGGCTTCATCCAAGCACGAGAAATTTACAAAATAAGACAACTATGTGTCAATCATGCCGCTAATACATAACTATGAATTATTGAAACTAACAGCTTTTAAACATAATACTTCTTAAGGACACTTGCATTCCAGAAATTCCTAAGGGGTACTCCCTTTAAGGTCATTAGCCGATATGACCCTTGCCTTAGCGTTTCGCAAATCTGATATTGACCTTCCCAATTTGCGGTAAGTTTTCCATCTGCATTACCCTTACCGATAGCAGCAGTTTGCCGTAAAACCAGATCACCGTCTTCAAGAGGTATATGATTAACCCGTTTATTGTAGGCATGACTCATTTTGTTCTTGTAGGCTGAAGATTTTATTGCAGCCTTCAACCTAACTTCCGGCAGAAAATCTAGTTGATGTCACAGCAAAAGGTCATTTTGTTCTTCACAATAATGTTGGATACGGAAGGTGGGAAGGCTGACTTCAGCAGGGACAACCGCCTCTAAACCGGAAGTTAGGTTAAAAGGCGATTCTCCAGTTGTTTCTCTTGTTGTCGTTCTATTGGCCCACAATATCTCTGGTACCAAGTCGGCCCGTAGCCCTTTTGCATCTTCAATTTTCTTCTTAAGTGCACTAAGTATTTATTTATTTGCAGCGTCAACCTGTCTGTTTGATTGAGGGTGGAAAACTGCTGCGTAGGCAAATTTAACTTTGTATATGCTCAAGAAATTTTTGATTGGGCTACAATCAAATTGAGAGCCGTGATCAAACACCATTTCCATTGGCAATCCAAACTGGGTGAAGATGCTCTTTCAGATGAACTTTCTAACTTCATTGGCCATTATTTTTTCTACTGGTTCAACCACTATCCATTTTGTAAAGCAGTCTACCCTTACAATTAGGAACTTCCTTCCATCGGTAGCCGACGTAAACGGTCCAACAATATCCATTCCCCATTGTGCAAACAGCACTGGGTTCAAGATAGGTGTGAGGTCGTTTGGCGGCTGATTAATTGTTGGCCCTAACATCTGGCATTTGTCGCATTTCTTCACGTATGCCAGTGCATCTGCATTCATTGTCGGCCAATAATAACCTCTTTTCATTGTTTCTAGAGATATCGACTGACCGCCAGTATAATTTCCGCATTCTCCTTCATGAATTTCTTCTATTAACCTAGCAGACTCAAAGGCCATTATGCACCTTTGCAGAGGTAACGAGAAGCCTCTTTTGTACAATCCTTTGCGAAACATAACAAACCAAATGCTATCTTTCTTCACTCTTTCGGCCTAACGTTTATCTGCAGGAAGAATTTCACACAATTTATAAGCCAAGATGTCATCATACCAATCTCGGCCTTCTTTGACGCAGTTAACCTCCACGTGAGCGGCGTCAATACTTTTGCGGTCCATAATTTCAACCTTTACTATTCGCTCTAGATCATTAAAGCTAAAACTTGCCAATTTTGCCAAGGCGTCTACCTGCGCATTCTGGGCACGTGGTAGCAGATTGATTTCAAAATGTTCTAAGTTTGCCGCTATTTGTTTCATTTTTGCAAGGTAAGCTATCATAATTTACTCTTGGGCTTCATAGTCACCACTGAATTGGCTTGCAACTAATTATGAGTCAGTTGATAATTCAATTCGTTTTACCTCTGCCGCTTCATATTCAGCAATGGCCGCTTCATATTCAGCAATGGCCGCTTCATATTCAGCAATGGCCGCTTCATATTCAACTTCATTATTGGAAGCTTTGAACTTGAATTTTATTGCGTACTCAAACAGTCAAATGTGTCTCCCTATGGAGAAGTCATTATAATACCAGCACCTGAACTAGTTGAAGCTGTTTATACGTCAACGGAGACCTTCCATGTGACAATACCTTCCTCCTCGTCTGTATAAGATGTCTCTACAATGAAGTCAGACAGAGCTTGCGTTTTTATGGATACTCATGGTTTATAGACCAGGTCATACTCTGATAACTCAAAAGCCCACTTAAGCAAATGGCCAGATTTTTCCATTTTTTGAAGAGATTTTTCTAACGGTTGATTTGTTAGTATCTCAATCGTATGCACATCGAAGTACGGCCTCAGCTTTCGCGCCGCTATCACCACTACTATGCAATCTTCTCTACTAACAGATATCGTCGTTCCGTCCGATTCAGAACATGATCCACAAAGTATATGGGCATTTGTATTTTCTTCCGTTCTACGCTACCGTTTTGGAGATGCCGAATATACAAATACAGGCTCTCTCCTTTCTTTAGCCTGGAAATTGTCGGCAACAACTTGAGGTGATTCTTCACCACCTCGAGTGCTTTAGCTTGATCTTTCCCCCGACAAACGTTTTGTTTTAACGCAAGACCACGAAGAGTGGTAGCGCCTTATCGGCAGACTTGTTGATGAATCTGGTCCATGTCGCCATACGGCTTATGAGCTTTTGTATATCCTTTATTGACTTCGGCTGTAGTAAGCTGAGAATGGCATCAACTTTATCAGGGTTCGCATCAATTCCCCTTTCACTAACCATAAAGCCCAAGAAATTTCTTGACTTAACCCCAAAAACGCATTTGTCCGGGTTTAGCTTCATTCTGCATTGTCTAAGAGTGTCAAACGTTTCTCGTAAGTAGGCAATGTGGTTTGTAGCCATTCGGCTTTTCACAATGGAGTCATCCACATATACTTCTATATTTCTACCTTTCTGATTTTCAAACACTTTATCAACCAGCTTCCGATACGTTGCACCTGCATTTCGTAGCCCAAACGACATTGCCCTGTAGCAATAAATTCCGGCATCCGTTATGAATGCGGCCTTGGTTTTGTCAGGCTCGTATAAACTGACTTAATGGTATCCAGAGAAAGCATCCATGAAGCTCAACAATGCATGGCCTGAAGTAGAATCTACCAGCCTATCTATCCTAGGCAATGGGTAGCAATCTTTCGGACAAGCCTTGTTCAAATCAGTAAAATCGACACACATCCTGCACTTTCCTAACGGTTTCTTCACCATAACCACATTTTCTAGCCATTCAGGGTAAGTGCAAGGTTCTATGAATCCTGCCGCTAGAAACTTATTTACTTTGGATTGTATTGCTTCGATCTTTTCAGTAGAGAAGTTCCTCTTTTTCTTTCTTACCGGCCGAGCTTTCCTGTCCACATTCAACTTATGTACCATAACATTAGGATGTATCCCTGGCATTTCATCGGCCGAGAAGGCAAAAAATCCATATTTTCTCATAACATATCCGCTAGTGGCATCGGAAGTCAAGATCCATATCAGACCCTACCCTGACCACTCGACCTGGAACACCCGGCTGTAATTCAACTTTGACGGTTTCTCCTCCCGGCAAGGGGCGAGGTGCCGACATTGGCCATGTATCAAAATTCTCCATGGACAAGTCATGTGCGGATGGGGCTCTTTCTCTTTTCTAACCCCCACTGTGTACAGGCAACTGCCGAGATGGCTGTTTCAAGGCAGTCACATAGCATTCTCTAGCCATTCTCTAACTTCCTTTAACACGTTTTGGGAAGCCCACATTTGATACATACATCATCGTCAAGTGGTATGTGGACACGAAAGCCTGCACGTCATGGATCATCGGCCTACCGACGATTACATTATATGCTGACGGCACATCCACTACAATGAATTCCGTCATAACGTCTCTCGCCGCAGCACCTTCACCGATACGAACCTGCAACACAATGCTGCCTTCAGGCCTGACGGTAGAGCCATTAAAGCCAATGATTGGGTATGGCACTTATGTTAGGTATTGCCTCCCAATCATCATGGTGTCAAAGGCCTTCGTGAAAAATATATTCGCAGAGCTTCCTCCATCAACTAAAACTCGCTTGATCAGACTTTCGTTTATCGCTAGTATGAGAACTACTAACGGGTCATCGTGAGGGAAAACGATGCCTTTGATATCAACCTCCGAGAAGGACACAAATGGGATACTGGAGGGTCGACAGCGATCTTCTACGCCCAAGACATTCACTACGTGTATATGCTCTGATAAACTTTTCTTCGCGCCATTAACAAATCCTCCATGCACTGGTTTGCCGGTAATAACGTCCAATACTATGTTACGCCCCGACGGCACTTGCCCTTGTCTT